CTGAGCTTGGGTTGGATTTGGGCACTTGGCAAGACAGCCCACAAGCTCTTCCCCCTGTGATCCCTCACGAGGGTACTAAGCTGGGGGCACCGTCTCAAAGATGGGGCATGGGGTGGTCGTACCAAACACGCACGCACACACGCACCGACAGCGAGACTACGGGCAAAGCAAGGTTCAGCTTATTCCCTTGAGTCTGCACAATCTCAATCATTATCCCCTTGGCGCGTGGGGCAATGCCTGAAACTGAAGGCACCACCCCTTGAGAAGGAGACTTCTGTATTCACCCATCCATTTGAACCCCCCTGCCCCGGTTAGGCTGCGTGTCCTGTGCAAGGATCGATTTGATCCCACCAAAGCGCACAATCAATATCAGGGGGTTCTAGCTTGCTGTGTTCGAGGCCTTTTCTGCCTCCACCATTGCTGCAAGGAACCACAACTGCAGCTCTGCCGGGTCTTTCATGGCATCAGAAACAATTACAGTAAGTTTCGAAGAGAGAGCAGCACTTTGTTGTACTTGCCTTCGGGGATGTGCTGCAGGGCGGACTGCTATACGCTGATGGAAATATCTCCATTGCCTCTTGGGGGTCTTAAAATTTAAGATGATCTAAGCAGCCGGCCTGAAGGGAGAGTCGGGGACAAAGTACCGTTTCAGCAGCAATATTAATGTTGATTCTGCTGTTGCTGCTGAATTCTGATCAAATTTCTGCGGTGTTGGCGCAGGGTCAGAAACGACAAAGATCATCATCCTGATCATCACCACCACCATGAAGGCCACCATCGGGAATGCTGAAAATTGAGCAGCAACTCTTGGACCTTTCCTGTACCAACTGTGAGAAACGAACAGCTTGCCGGAAAATCTGCCCCAATCTTCCCTGTTTTCACTTAACCGGCATATTCCAAAGACCTGTTGATTTGCTGGTCAGGCATGCAGTACACAATGACCATAGCCGGATAGCTGCTCAGTTTTGGAGCATTCATTCACAGAAGAACCAGCAAAAAAGCATGCTATGCCTCTTCGCCCCTCACAACGAAAGTGCCACCAAGAAGAAGAACACCCTGTCAGGACATGAGATGCCCTAGGCATCGGGCTCTACTAGGCCCTCATCTTGCTTTGTTACAATAGCTGCTGCATGCAAGCTTAGCCTCCGGTACTCCGCTGGAATCTCTCTGCTCTGGTGCCAGTGACGTTACCTTGCTGAAATACCGGAACCTCAGCTTTGTCAAACAGAAGACCAAGAATGAATGGTGGTTGAGCTGAAGACATTCCGTCCACTCCGCCAAGATCAGGCGCCTGCCACTGCAGTACCAAAATCAACCAATCTCATGCTCATCTAAGCATCTGTCCCAAGTGCCTCCAAGGAGACGCCACTCACAGGCTGGCCTCCCAAACGACCAAAATTCATCGCAGAGTAGGCCTTGGCTCACTGAAACACAGACATGTGAGAAGATGCCATTGCGGGTCTGAGCTCTTTGCCCAAGCACATGTGCACTGAGCCACAGTGCACACAATAATTGGACAATCTGCTGTGCTTGGCTCAAAACCTGGTATCCTGTGGAGTCATCAACGAATACCTGCGAAGCTTCATCAGCACCAACCTAGATGAGAAGCCAGGCTCACTTTGTGCATCACAAACGGGCCTTAGTTCGAGGCACCTCGGGGATTTGATCGAGAAAGTCATTCAGTTGCGCCGCCTGCCAATACTCAACGTCAGTCTGTGCTATTGGTTTCCCTCAGTCAGTGTAGCAGCATCAGAGTGAGAATGAGACCACATGCCGCCACGCAGATTCCAAACGCAGTCGAAGCGGCAGTTCCAGGAGCAATCATCAGCGGGCCAGCAAGTCCTTCATCCTAAGGCAACTGGTCGCGCACATGGCACATGGTCCTGCACGGCTTGGATGGCCTCCACTCGCTTCAGCACGTCAGGCCGACACCTGGAAACTGGTTGCGACTGCCCATGAAGCCTGCTTAGAGTTTTGGGACAGCACCACGCGCGCACATGCGACCAACAGTAAGGTCCTGAGATTGGTAAGCAGCATCCCTGATTTCTTGTCAGTGCCCCTGAGCCTCTGAGCACGAGGCAGGCCAAGTGCCTCAGGAAAACGACCACAGCTCCTCCTGCCTCCAGTTCACCGCAAAAACGCATGGCGTCCTTGCACCTGGCAGCCCTTCACGTGGATCAGATTCCAGGTGCCCGGCATTCCCGACCTCCGCAGAGATCGGTCGGGATGTTGCATCGGACCTCAAGTGAGCAAATCAGGCATGATAACATTAACGCAGGAGTTTAGCCAAGTTTCCCGGTGATGAGCTGCGCCTGCGCAGAAATGTAAGCCCGTAGCACCTGCTCTCCAAGGCTGTCTGGGAGCCAGACTAACACCGTCTTCCCATCAACACACTCACCTGTTGGCCAGACCTTAGGATTTTGCACTGAGAATCGCCACAGCTCAAGGCAAAAATCAAAATTAACCAAAAAATTGCTCCCTCTTTTGAAAATCACGACATTTGGTGCCGTGGAAAACTGCGTAGGCTACTTCGCCTGGCATCAGAGTCTTCGCTGCCTCCGATGCACAAGCACTACAGCAAGCGAGGCGAATATCAAATAGCCGAGGAGAGGTTGCCATGAGCGACAAGGCTTACCGAAGGCTGCAATGAGCTCCAGAACCTCATGCGTGCCAAGGAATGCTCCATCCTTCGCGACAGTGAACGCTTGTGGGTCCTCCTGAACGGCTGCTCTGACAGATTCCGCAGTGAAACCAGGTATGTAAGTGTGGCCAACAAGCTTTGCCAGGGCCAAGTCGTTGTCATCGTCGCCCATGCTTAACGTTGACTCACTACCAAACCCCCAAACTTTCATGAGGTACTCCGCGGCTTTATCTTTGCCACTTGTGGCTGGATAGAAGTCCGCACTTCCAAGATTGAAGGAACAAGCAAGCTCAGGCCGCAAACTGTGGATGACATTCTGTAAATCTGCCTCGGCTTTGCTTGGTGATTTCTGAAGGCTCACGCGGAATTCTGTCAAATACCTGTGTGCATCACATGTCCAGCCTTCTCCGGCCAATTTGCGGAAAAAATCCCAGAGTGCACCAGGGCGCTTGGATGGCGGTACAGACTCAAGGACCATGGGCGCAGCATCATGCAGCCCTCGCCACTCGAGGTCTTCAATGATGGGTGCCGCAGTTAGAGCAGAGTTCCCAGCGGGCATAAAAATTCTACCGCCGTTCTCCATCACATACGCATCCGCTGCAGGAAGGTACGGCAAACGTTCTAGGAAGGTGCTGCTGCGTGCACCACTGATCAACACGAATCGGTGGCCAGCTTGGCGTATCAGAGACACTAGGTGCAAAGTGCGTTCACTGATAAACGCCTGCATCCCTGTGGAGGAAGGTGGTAGCGCACGCACCTTGATCTCCAAGCCATCATGAGTGGTGAAAGAGCCGCCATCTTCAGATAAGCGCCCCCAGCGCTGCAAAGCATCATCCGCTATGTGAACCAGAGTTCCATCGACGTCGCTGAAAATCAACTTCTCTGCCATTTGTAGCACGCGCTGTTCTGCATGAGCCAAAGAACATTGCAGCAGCTTTTTACTCCCTTCGCATTTGGAAAGCAACATGCACATCGCCACTCTGGTTGCCAAGGGCGCGACCACGCCGCCAGCATCAGCACAATTACAACGTTGTGCTTCCTGTATGGACAAACAATACAAAACACACGAATGCAAATACTTCAATGTGTGCTGAGGTGGCTACTTCTCCGCTTACCACTGTGCTTCTCGGCTGAAAAACACGCAGCTTTGGACGGATAGCAGCTGCAATTGCCTGCTGGTGATTTTGAGGCACGAAGGTCAGCTGATGAACTGGGCTTAGATTTCCGCCTGCAGTGGAGGCGGCTTCGACAAGCTTTCGGGGATATCTCGAACATATGCAATCTGACCTGCTTGTCAAGCCAAACCAGCAACACGTGCCAGCATATTCTTGGAATTGCAGTCACATGAGCTATTGTCTAACTCCTGCCTTAATAAACCTTGTAATAGTTCCCTATATAGTATAAATCCTGCATACTCCCCTGATGGCAACGCTGATTCCTGCTCTCTTTCTGCCCGCAACCACCATTAAACTGCATCCTCCCTGATATGTAGGTTTCATCTTGGCAGAATGTCAACTCCTATTAGGGGGTGCCCTCCCGCTTATGCGGTAAACGTTGTTAGCTTTGACCTTCTTGCAACAATGGATATGCACCATGCAAGACACCTTCCGAGTTCAACTCGTAAAAGGAGATGCCACGAGTCCTGAACTTCAAGGATCTTCGAGGGCTGCTGCAACATGCGGTCTCCATGTGGCTGCGACGTTCAGTGCAGCACGAGACAGCAGCACAAAACTTCGGCAATCGACAACCAACCAACAGGCCTCGGGGCATCGGGGGGTGCCCCGGAGATTTCGACATTCCAGGTGAAGCCTTCAGAACACTACACAGAGCTACGCAGAAAAAACGCCGAGCTCTACCGTATGAGCACGATTTGCCAGAGCAATAAGCTGGGACAAGCTGGGTGAAGCTCAGCACGCTCGGCTTCCATCCGAAAAGCGCTCGGCAACAAACTTCAGCGCTTTGATCTCAGCCTGGACTCTTGGCTCTTGGATTCGGTTTCGGGATGCTTCGGGGCCATTCAGGGTGCTCTTGGCTGAACTTGACGAAGACGTTGGGCGCCCAGCGAACTTTTCCAAGAAGTCACCTTGCAGCAGCTACACCCTTGCAGCAGACCGTTCGCATTCTAATAGATAAGCCTCAGATAAGCTTCACTGGCTTAAGCAAGATTTGCCGGCAGGCATTCAATGTCCAACTTGATTTCGCATGACTGCCAGAAATGCAGCTGACCTCTCGTTCCCTACGTTCAGTGCACAGTTCGCCGTGAAGCTGCATGTGACTGAATCGCATGCCGTCGCTGACCAGCACAATGATAATTGTCTCAGCCTTTGGCCGCCGGCTGTCGGCATGGCGTGATGTTGCTGCAGTTCCAGTATCTTCCCGTCTTTTTTGTGTGCAGTTAGTGCACGAGTCGTGTGCAGCCATCGACTGTGCGTCCTTGCATGTTGTTGGCGCTCTGCATGACCCAAACTGGTTCACACATTCGAACCACCTAAGCTTGCTTAGAAACAGCAGCCACGCAGAGCCCCGTGCCAGGGAAAGAAAGGCTGGTCAAAGCCCATACCTCAACAAGAGTGGGCAACTGGCCAGTTGGGTTTTTGGTCGGCAGCCTCAGCCCTCTCCCAGATCATTTTCGTGAGCTCAGCTCCATCCCCGTACGACAAGAAGAGAAATCGCAAACACAAGGCCCAAATCATGACCGGCCAGCAAAATCACAACTGAGAAGGCATCAAAAGGTAGAAATGCATGAAATTACACCCACAACGATTTCGAACGCCAGCGAATTTACAAGAAAGATTCGCTAGATGCTATCCAAATGCAAAAACTCAATACATCGAGCAAGGGTGGCGTCCTGATGCCCCAGCATTAACACAGCTCCTCCCCTCAGCCTGCAAACGAGCAAGCCATTCAAACTTCTACAAGTAGAGTAGTTCCCTGCAATTATTTGACTTGCACGATCAACGCAGGATCATCAAACTTCACATCATTGGCGCACATCTGTCTTCAAGGTCCGTCCAGCGCATGAGCTCTGTCAGAGAGCTCTGCCAAATATTGCAAATATGTTTGCAGAAGCAGCAAGCGCAAAACCGATGGAAGGGTTTTCCTGCAGAATTGTGAGGAAGTGGATGGTCCCCAAAGTATCTCAAATCAGAGTGGCCGAACCCAAAGCAGTCGGTTGAGGTACTGCCTGTCATCCCACAGGCTTACTACCCTGAGCAAGTGAACGCTGCAATACCTGAACGCTGCAATACCTCTCCATAATGGCCTTTCGGCTCAATCCAGCTTCAAGTTAATTTGCTGAACATGCCTCTGCAGTACATTGTCACATCTGCTTGAGCTCTTCTAGCCTCTCATGGTAGCTGTGCCACTTGTAAGTCGCTGGGATTTCGTTCAAGCCTTTCAAAAAAGGTGGGATTTGGCACTAAATGTCTGAAATTTAGGACGGGAGTTACAGCTCGTCAGTGAGGAGGTCCACCGCAAACCTTCAGCACATCACTTGTATGCTGAATCGCCCCAGAACTTGGTAGCTGGCCGACCGCCGCCTTTCCACCTGAGAAACCGTTGAAAAATGGCTGACAGTTTCTAGCGAAGGCGGTTCTGAGGGTGCGTCGCATTGGCATCTCGTAGTTGAAGTCTTCATAAAGGACCTTCCAAACATGACTGTGCAAGCTTCTAATTTCGCAAACTCACAAATTTCTGAGCCTCTTCTGCGAAAAAATCCAGTGACTCTGAAGGAGCTGCATTGCCCTGAAGCCGTTTGATCAACGCGGCTTTACTATGCGACTTCAACCCAAATCATCCTGCAGCTCGCTCCACAGATAGCGGCATATGTCACCTCGCTCAATCATTACAGTCGACCTCCACGTTTTCAAGCGGCGACTACAGCTAGCAAAGCAACTCCATGGACCAATGGGTATCAGACTGGCTCCTGTCGGTGTTCTGCGCTCGACCTCTCCAGCTCTTCGGGTCATTGTTATGACTGGCAAACAATCCAAGGCGAGTGCCTCATCAAATGTAGCCGTGTTTTCTCCGCCAATTGCCTGGCCAGCAAACGAGAAGATCTCACAGCGCACTGCAAAATTCCAAAAAGACCTGCATGATAAATGATAGCCTTCAACAATTCTACGGTGGCATCCCCAGGCTTGAACAAGGGCTCGCAGATCTCACGCAAATAAATGATTTTCCTCAGCAAAACAGGCTCTGGCATCAGACGCACGCAAAGAGCACTGATTCAACATGCTACCCTCGCGTAGTGCACAGCTTCGCCTACCAACATTCAAACTTCGGTGCCTGTGCTGAATCTTACCAGTGTTTGGGGTGAGTGTCTGTCTGTCTGATGTTTGAGCACGGGGCAACTCCACCCGCTCCACAAATCAAATGTGCCATGATTTTGCGTTGAGAAAAAGAGGTCTAAAGCTCATCGGCTCATGGCCAGCATTTCCAATTGTCACTGGTTTTGGCAGGGAGCCGCGTGCGGTCAAGCAACTATTGTTTCTACACCCTGCCGGGAGTTGCCTCTTACCATATCGAAATCCGGATAGACAACAATACTGCGCATAAACAAGTTCGTAAGGTTCTGCTATGATTTGGTCAGTGGCCGGAGACCAGACACGAGAAAAAGACTGTGACCTGAGAACGCCGAACTTCTTAGGGCACGGGAAACGTGATCAAACCATGCGAACATGAATCGCCGCATCACTCAGCATCTGTACACATCCATAAAAATGGCAAAAAGATGCTGACTGCCTTCCTGGCCAAAGCACAGCACAAATCGGAATGCACATTAGCTCTGCTTGCAAAATCAGTACAGCACCCCTGCATTGGCATTGCTCATGAAACAACTGAGTTCGCGACCCTTGTTCATTCAGCTCCACATAGGTTGTCCCACGGATACCCACCTGGTCAGTCTGATGCTGAAGTTGACCTGCTACAGTGCTCTGCCTAACCTCGCTCACCAGGTGATATCAAGACTTGAAAACATTTGTCAGCAGCAAGACGAGCCCGAGATCCTTGCAGCCCCATCTTCCTCCAAATGCCAGGTGAATCCGCAAGACCTTGGAAGTGATCTTCACGTGCCATGCTTCACGGCTTGCTTCGCTATTTGTGCAGTGCCGCCGGCCTGGCGCCATCACTAAGGCGGTCTATTACGATCCTGAAGGCATTTCGCCCGATTGAAGTCATTGTACGCACTATATGCAACATTCTCTCGAACGTTCTCTGACACAAGATCCTTCCACAAGAAGCCTTGTTCTCCATGTAAGCACGGACCTCAGCCACAACTCAACGCTCAGCAAATTGATGCGCGGCAATGCGCTGTACAGCTTAAGTAAGCCTTGGGCACCGCTCGAATTTGACGTACCAACTTCTGAGAGGTAAAGGTCCTGTCAGTGTCAAGCGTGGAAGCGGAAGGCACAGCAAGCTGAGCGGAGACTACAAGAGAATCTTCGTCTCGCTGTTGCTCTTGGATGGAGCATTCTTCTTGGGGCCGGCTGAAATGCGCTGTGTCTGGAATTCGCTTTGGTCTTGGGCTTGCCTTCTTACATGACCCACCAGGCCATGAAGCTAGGACACCATCTCCGTGCCCTATGAAAATCAAAACATTCGGTGCGTCCGTGGCCAGGCAAAAGCACTCTTTGCACAGCATGTACAATAATCATACCTTAGAAGACCACCCGCTTTTGCCTCTCGCGCGGCTCAAGCTGTGAGTTTTATGGCCCTAGCTCAATGATAGTTCGCTTTCTTGGACGAAGTTTCCACAGCTTTGGCCTTGCCACCGGACCTGACAAGAAGGATAGAGCCGATGGGCACAAGTCTTGTGCCAAAGGGCACTTGTTGCACATGGGACGAGGCTTGCAAATCTCCTGCCCAAAGCCTATCATCTGTCGCGCAACAATCTCACGCTTCTCAGCAGAAATGAAATCCTCTAAGCATTGCTGTGTCTGCCGTGGGGCAGTAAATGTGGACCACCCAAGCCGTCGAGCGACGCGATGCACATGAGTGTCAACTATCATACCACAGTCCGGCTGCTGGAACGTCACTGCCAAGACCAGATTTGCGATCTTTGGCCCGATGCCTGGGAGTGCTACCAGAGCTTCGAAGCTTGCAGGAACCCTCCCAGAATGCTGGCTGAGAAGAGTAGCTGCAGTCTCCCGCAGTCTGAGCACTTTGCTTTTGTAGAAGTTGACATCTTGAAGGCACTGCGTAAGCACGTCAACTGGTGCGAGCACAAGGGCAGCTGGACTTAGGCCTTCTTCGCAGCCAAGACGCGAAGTTAATCGTCGCGTAGCGCTAATCGCCAAGCGGTCCCGGGTTTGCACGCTCAAGATTGCTGCGCAAAGGCTTGCAAATTCGCCGTCAGCGGTACTTCTCAATGTACACAAATATTCGTGAAACTCTTGAACAGTGCCGGAGGCACCGGAAGCAACTAACCCCTGCAGCTGCTGCCGCCAACGAGAAGGGCTCTTTCCGCGATGACTTGCAGATGCGCATTTTAATGAAGCTCGAGATGCTTTCTCAAAGTTCTCCTCGCGAGCAAGGGCAGCCAAGGGCAGCGCAGTTGGCAGACTGATGACTCAATGACTTCGTGCAAACTATCCCACTTAGCTAGCCAGCCCGTCGGAAGTGCACATTTATTATTTTCAATGCATCACCCCCAACTTTATTATGCCCCAAGTGGCGCCTCGTGGCCAGATTTGGGAGAAGGCGCTGGTACCAGGTTGGGGAAAGAAGTCCGCTCTTCAGCGAAGCTTTCAAGTCTCGCTGGCCACTGAGATGACGTCTGTGAGAACACGAAAGTCTCCAGCAATTCCAGCTTTGCCAAGGATGCCTCTGGAGTCATGTCCATCATCAAGGCGGACGGTGCTCTATCTGCAAGGGGGAGCATGCCTGGAGATGCCACCTAAACTTGCACCGGGACAGAGCAGTGCCTAAAAATGCAATGACCACTGTCCAAATAGCTTAACAGCAACACGGGTCGGTCTACAGTGCTCATGAAATCTAACAAATTCAGCGAGCCAACCCTGTGTACATCGTACCCTGAGCCCTGCACATAACACACTTCGATCTACTACTGGTTGGTTCGAAAATCAGCACATTGCAAGTTACACGCACAGCAGCTGCAGCCTCAACGACCGCATTCGGATCAAAGGACTTTATCCAAACTTCTTCTTTATCTGTGTTGCCTTGCTGGAATCAACATGAACCAAATCAATGGATCGACCGAAGCTGTCCATACTGGAAACTCTGCATTTCAGAATTTCAGAAGCTGAGACGGGTACCCTGCGGTGGACCCACCTGCCAGGTGTCACAAAACCAAATTGCAGTTGAATCGCGTCGTGTTGTGATGACACCTCTTCCCACAATCTCAACACAAGAGATGGTGCTGCTCCCACAGACGTCCTAAGCCGTGATGGTGAGAACAACAAAACCAACGCTTTGTTCTAAGGTGCCAGCTGCTGTTGGGCTTCTGCTACAACGGAAGCCTTTCAAGGGGGACGATGTTGTTGTGTGCATGGCTCCGTACATCGCGCCTTCATTGGCAAACGGGATGCCCCACCTGTCACTGGTGCAACCTGTGGTGCTACCTTTGCTCTGCTTACCAACCATTGAGTTCCCAGCGACCGCACCGGAAGACCCTTGCTGGTTTTCTGGTCAAACCAGCCTCAAATGACTTGCTTGCTGCCTGCTGATTTCCTCCTTTGATGTCCCATGTAAGCTGCCACTGCTCCCGTCATCAGCGCTGTAAAGCGTGCAGTGGCCTGGTCATTTCAAACATGACGCGCTTGGTGGCGACAGATAGTGGCAGCACTGCCTCAGACACCTTAACTTGCTCTCCAGGGATGTCGGGTCCTCCTTTCACCTTGGATGCACGTGAAAGGGTGGCAAGCGCGATCGAAAAAAAAATGGATACATACATATATACATATATATATATGTATATAACGATCAAGCTGCCTTGAGTGTAGCCGTAGCTGGTGGTGTTGATCTTGCAGGTGGTGGACTGGAAGGCACCGACTCAGATTGCAGCTGCTGCACTTCAAGCTGTACAAATGTCCACCTCCTCAGCCTCACCTTATCATATCATCATTACTTAGCACGGCACCGCAAAACTCGCCATTGCTTCCAAGGGGATGTTTTGTGTAAGCTGCTAATGACTGCTGGTGTGAGTTTAAAATGCCTTTGCTGAATTCATTTGCGGCTCATAAATTGCAGAATTCTAGCATAGGTCTGTGTTTGGTCTAGACTAAAGTACAAACTAAATTGGAATGTCAAACATCAATGAAAACTGGCTCAACAGCTGTCTGTCCCCTGATGGAATCTTGAACAACAAGACATCATGCAACCGACAACAACACTGAATGCCGGCACATGGGGTTGTAAAATGCATGGCCTGCCCAGATGCCTTGCTTCTCGCCAAATCTAACGGCGATGTGGTAACTAAACTCGTCTCTGGTCTGCTGATGGACCTTGGTGAAAAAACAAAGGCAGAAAACAAAGCTTTGCACGATAAATTGCCAAAACCTGCGGTGTTCACGGGAAGGCCATGCCACCCTGACGGACCACCACCAAGATGACTGCTGCGGCCTTGTCATGGATTGAACGCGACTGTTTCTTTCAGAAGCTTCAACAAAGAGTGCGGCTATCAGCGGACATCGGCTTCCATGCCGCCGACGATCTTTCGTGACTCGCGCAAGTCTGGCCTTTTGAAGGTGAAAACCAACCAAACAATGCCACGCAGCATGAACTCTTGCTTTCAAGTTGCAGCCAGTGACGATGGCCTAAGTTAAAAAGCATTCTTCCTTGCCATCCACGCGTGAATGGCCTGGAATCACTGTGGTTCAAGCATCGTCATCAGCCTCATGGGAAAGGCAGAGGGACCAACCAAAGCTAAGGCCTTGATCCAGAAACGCAGCACATGCAACTGAAACCAAGAAATGAAAGAAACGCAGAGTTTTCAAGAACTGAAGTGTTGGGAAGCATTTTTGTCAGGCCGCGTCTATTCAAAATCGCCTTCCGAACCAATTCCATCACACAAACAAGTTTGTACAGTGTCTTTGCTGTCATTCTGGGAATGCGGGAAGGTCGGCCTCGACATGCAACTTCCTGCAACTGAACGTCTGCAAGCTAAAGCAATGAAATATTGACAAAAATCGTTGTTGAAGTTGTTGATGCTTGATGCGCAAATATACAACACATGTAAACCTGCGACTGTGTACCCTCCTTGCCACCCACCCCAAACAAAAAGAAAAAAATCTCCACCCTAAATTTGCCCACCCACCCACCCGGAAAGTGCGCCGCTGACCGAGACTATGGCAGGGCATTGAAGCGCCTGCATTCCAAACTGGGTTGGATGCACTGTATGTGGGTCCCACAAACGTGCGCCCAACTGCATGATGATTCTCTTTTGCACTCGCTGCCCCTGGCGACAGAAAGTGATGCGTCCCTTCTGTGTGTGAACCATTGCGTACTTTGATCAATAATTTGAATGACCTTGAATATGAGTGCTATACCTGATAAATTTGTGACCCAAATCATACTTAACTTACTTTTGTGATGAATTTGGATACTTATAAGTATCCTCCTGATATGTTGATTCGAGAACGTTTCTGATTTGTGGACGAGAAAATGAGAATGGCACATGTAGAATCGCACAACAAGTTGGATGCATCAAATTTGAGCTTCCTCGTTTGCCAAGACTTTGATCGTTCGTACGAGGTTGTCCGCCTACAAATGTTTATCTGGAAGATGTACCTTCGGGCATATGCCAGACGGAATGTGAACAAATTCATTTCAACTTTGATTGAAGGCAACACTGGAGGATACCGAAAAATCCGCGCTGCAAATGGGGAGCACAATCGCCAAGCCATGCCTTCCAAGATCCGGAGTCCCCTCCAACTCCTTGGGCAACACGAGGCTGTCCTACAATTTGATGCAAGCCAACAAGCCAACGCCATCGAAAACATTCGAAAACGATGTTATGTGTGGATCGAAAAACGGCTTGCACGCGTGCGAAAGCAAGGACGCATGGACGATGAAGTTGTGTACCCTGCGCGCGCGTGATGGGAGCTGTTATGTGCAAATCCTACAAAAAGATCTTCAAGAACAGCTTCCTCGACAAGATTTCCTGGCAAAATGGCAGACCTGGCAGACTAAAGACACTAAATTCATGGAAAAAACCAAGCGAAAATCACAATCTTCTGGGACATGGTGTATCTTCTGATGGATGATGCTCCTGCTGGATACCTTTACAATCCACAACTACCTGAAACTGATGATCCAACGGAAAATGCCTGAGTTTTCTTGCCTTCATCATAGAGATCAGGCTCTTGCAGATCTCAAGATTGAGTGGACACATGCATAGCTGGGTTTCCAATTTCCACTACCAAAATTCGTCGCATTGAGCCAATGCCAGTGTATCAGACGCATGTCATGACATTTTGTCTGGTGCGATGAAGAATAACAACATGTGAATCATAGGACTCTTGTTCGACGTTGCGCACACAAAACATGCAATTAATTTGCAGCTCAACATTTGGGGGTGTGTCAATTCCTACAAACCCAACCCTGTGCGAGTTGTACTTCGCATGTTCTCATTGAAAGTAACTGTAACTTGCTTAACTTGGCTGAGGCGACAAATGCTAAGCAGTATGCTGCGGAACTCCAGCCAGGTTCTGCTGAACCGTCCGCTGTGGGACCCAATCCCACGGTTCCTGTGCTTGAACAGGAGGAATTTGTCCAAATGCTCCAAAAGCAAAACTGGGCAGCTGCTGTGCGCTTGCCAGGTGTGAAAAATCGCCTACGATTTTTTTGCGGAATATGTGGGCAATGGTTGTCAGCAGCGCCAACTGCCTTGAGGAACCACATTCGGGGTATGCGTCCAACCCAAAGCTGTGCATGTGTGCTGACGTTGTTTTCCAAAGCTCAAAATTGTCCATTACGCAGTGCCCAGATCTCAAAGCACACTAGCACAATTGCAATGCAAAATAATGTTTCATCTTTGCCTACTGCATCATTTTATTCGGGTGCGGAGAAACCCATTAACACTCAACACTTTTGACAGCTATGTCGGAGGTTGTAACGGCAATGACGCCAGCTCGAGAAATGGAAATGCTCTTCCAGCACGTGACTAAGGCTGACCAAGTGTCAGGTCCAGGACGCATCCATGGAACCCAAAGCCTCGGGTCCAGCTGCAGCCGATTCACCAGGTTTGGACAAGGGCGAGCGGCCAACAGAGGGGGCGAAATTCGACAAGCTACACAAAGAGTTGCAAGAGGGATTCTGGCAGCATTCAAACTGCGAAACAGTCGGACAAGCCGGACAGGTCCCACGGCTCGGGAGCAGACAGGTTGGACATGCCAAGCAGGACAGAACGCCAAAGCTGGCAGAGACAACTTAAATTCCGGCAGGGGCCGCGAATTGGAGTCCCTGATGCAGTCAGTACAGCTGCTGGCCGGAGCAGCTTTTCGACACAAGGACGAGCTTGTGCAGTCACGTTCGAGCCCTTGCCGAGTCCTATCAGGGCGAGACGGCATTGAGACCCATACATGAAGCGAATGCACAACTTGCTTCATCTGAGGCGCGGACTTGGCGCCACAAAGGTGACAGCTTTCAGGATGAGACCGGCGAAAGCGGAGAGACAGCCCTTGCTGCGGGTTGTGGAAGAGCGGTTCCCTGCCCCAGGGAAATGGCAAAAGATTCTTTCGCGGGCGCACTATCGCACTGTAGGCTAAGTACAGCTTCACTCAACAGATCCGGTAGTCGGATCACTACAGCTTTGTGAGACTCGCTCGTGTACCTCGAAACAGGGTGCAATGCGCCATTCATTCCAATGCGCAGCTACTCTGAAACTTGTGCAGTAGGGAAGGAGCACACCTCCTCCGCAGC